AATAAAAGAAGCGTAAAAATGCGCCAAAAGTAATCCAAAACCCAAACCTCTGCTTGGAGAGTAATCAAACAAAAACTTTAAAGCTCTCTCATTGGTCGTTGCCTTTTGCAGAATCAGTGATGATCGATTTCGATTGGATGAGGAAGTTAATTGAGTCATTTTGCACACCTGACACCTGTGTACAAATGACATGTGGTACCGTCCGTTCGACCTCGTGTGTGACGCACGCTGTTGTTAGAAATTTCTTTGCAACTTTTTGGCATATTTTCAACTTTTACCGTTTTTGGTTAGGAAACTTTCTATCGTAACGTATGAAGTGCATCTTGGGGATGTTTCTGTGGTAGAATTATGCCTTTCTTTGGTTGTTTGAGGAAGAAAATGCCCTTTTCCTGACCGGCGCCGGAATTTTGGTGAAAGGAAAAGAAAGGAAAATGGCGACTGTCATGTTGGAATGACGGCGTGATGTCGAGAAGACTCCTCTTTAGAAGGTAAGAGAACGAACTATCCCGTTAAATACATTTCCAACAAAGTTGTAACCCTAACGTAGGTATATTCTGTGAAAACTTGTGTAATTCTACTCATTTATGTCGTAGTTTAAAGCGGGTTTCTCTACATAAATGACTTCGCAGACAACCTCAGTTCCAACATTAGACCATCAATAAATGAAGACCTTTATTGTACAAAAATACCCACTGGGTTAAGTACAAAGGAATTGCTTGTACCTTGGAGGTAGCATTTTTCTACCTCCATGCTTGTACAAATGTACCTGGAGAAGATCTTCAACATCCATGCCTTGTGTGCATAGACAGACAGTTTGTACAGGTGAGACACTGCAGCTTTACAACTCGCATGTTTCTTTCTTCTCTTCTTCTAGGTTTAATACTTTTTGTAGACAGTATTAAGCTCGTAAAAGAGCTACATCTTATTCAATCAAAGGGAAAGTACAGAATTTTACAATCTTCCATCATTCAGTGTTGATTGGAGATGTTTCTGCATCACTCATTGTTTTATGTTATTAGGGATGTCCTGAGGGTCTCAGCTGTCCCGACTGGGAGAAACCTGTGATGACCAGCGACTCCTGTCTAAACCAGATGAGGGCTAAGCAAACCAGTCGACCGTACAAGTCACTGAGGGAAATGAAGACTTTCTACACGTAAGTCAGACTCTCAAATTTGACAACATTCCCATAAAAGACTAGTGTAGGAAGCCAGCATATTGTCACCTGTTTTATGTGTGTTTGATAAAGAGCTGTGCCTTGCAAGATGCCAACTATGGGAGCTTGTTCTGACGATAAACATTCGCATGACTATTCAATCGTCGTCAGTCTAAAGTTGGCATTTCTATTCGCTTGACTGATTTGCCAACTACAATTTCCTCTTCGTGGTTGTCTCTGCTGTACAATGGACAAGATTTTGTTTAGTTGCTGATCTGCTCTGCCCTCCCTCTTCATCTGCTCTTCCTTCTCTACCCTCCCTCTTCTCATCTGCTTCCTTCCTGCTCATCTGCTTCCTCTAACCTCGCCTTCCTTCTCTCTACCCTCCTTTCTTCTGTCCTCCTCCGCCCCTTCTCTCTACCCTCCCTCTTCTCATCTGCTTCCTTCCTGCTCATCTGCTTCCTCTAACCTCGCCTTCCTTCTCTCTACCCTCCTTTCTTGTCGCTTCACCAACAACAATCGGCAAGCTTTTGTTTAGTTGTTGATGTGTTTGAAACGGCACTGTTGATAAAAGTTGCAATTGTATAACTTGACTGCAGCGCTACTTGATTGGAATAAAACAAACGCTACAGGACATGACTCGTGTTGACCACTTTTCTGAAATACTTTATTCTCGTAAGATATCCATGTGAATTTTTACAAAAATACTTATATAGAATATACATACAGATTTTTGGGAAAATACTTATAATTTTATTATAGAAAATACTTATAATTTATTATAGATAAATATTTTTACAGCACAGTAGGTTATGCCGCCGCTAGGCAGCCGACCAAAGGTCGGAACGCCGGCAGGCAGCCGCCCGCGAATCGGTTGTGCCGCCGACAGGCAGCCGCCCGCGTTGGGCTGCTGCCAGGCAGTGCGCCACGGTCCGGTCGGCTACCCACTGGGCAGTAGGCTGCGGGCGGGCCGGGTACCAACAGAAACGAGGAGAGGGACGAGAGAAGGAATAGAAGGGGAGAGAGAGAGAGAGAGAAGGGGGAAGACAGAGGGGAGGCGGAAGGGGAGAGAGAGAAAGTTAGTCACAGTGACTATGTTGATGTTGAAGTGGGAAAATTTCCTCCCAGT